AAAAAAATGAGTGATGAGTTCCATTTTAAAAGGCAAATTAAATGATGTATCCTAGCTACTTTTCAAGCTGCAGATAAGCAGTGTCACAAACATCCTGCTCAGTAGCTACACATAGGTATGGATACAAACTACAAATACAGTAAATTATGAGAAGTAACCATTCGTAACGGTGGCTCTGCGGGCTGCCTTGTGCTCACTTCTCCTGGGTTTCCATCCAGCTGGCCAGGTGCCACCAGTGCTCGAGCTGACCCAGCGAGCGCTGCTTGGTGTGAGTGCAGCAGGAGCGAAGCCGCTGGGGCCTCTCATCGGGTCCTGCATTTCCATCTGTCCAAAGAGCTCCGAGCTGAGGCACAGCTATCACAGGATAGTCTGCCAGAATCCGCCCGTGCCTGCAGCACGACCTGCAATAATAAGATTACAGTACTTCATTGCAGGCTCAAATAAGGGGGAGGAGCACAAATCCGACAAAAATCTGCTGGATTTTTTTTTCTTATTGAATATTTCCCAGGTCAATAGTCTTCAGGAATGTGCAACATGATATTTCAGTCATGATTCAACTCTAGCTGAATCTGTGGAATAACTTATGTATTTTATTAAGGTATTACTAAGCCTGAAAGCTATTACATTTATTTGGTAGAGCTCTTCTTTGGTAGCTTGCTGTTTTGTAAGTTCCAAATACACTGGGAAAATAATTATATCCACCAGAGTCACATGGAAAAAAAAAAAAAAAGATCTGTCTGGTCCATTATGTTATTTTATCATGGTGACATGAATAAATGATTTAAAAAAGAAGGATTGTAGGAGCAATTTTTGAAAGGACCTTTTAAAAGGATTGTATTTCAGAAAAGCAGAATCAGAGTACGTTTCCTAATATATACTGTAAGAATTAAACTTACAAAATTGCATCAAAATCAATCAGAAAGGTCCAAATATTTTCTTTTAAAATATTTAAATATCTTTCTTAAAAAAATTAGAAAAAAAATCCTTTTGAAAGTTACATTGTATTTTATTTTCAGTATTTCACGAAGAATGCATAGTAGTATTCTATATGTATACATATGCAATACATATGCAATATATATTTATATATTGGGATGAAACATTCAATTTTATAGTTTTATTCTCATAATCACTAAAAACATTTCTATTTGACCTTGACAGAAAGATCTTTTCTTACTTTGTATACCAGTGAGTCCCTATTTCTGATGTATTGAATCAATCTGACAAGTCATTTGCATCAGAAAACTATAGTTAACCTCTGGATACATATTTTCTGTTTTTAAATTAACATCTAAGTATTTAATTTATTATTTATTAATCTTCTTAAAATGTTACATCAATTGACTCTGCTAGTATGGTCAGTGCTAATATTTCAAAATCTTTGAACATCTTTTATTGTTATGACATGATTCTATTAAAGTATGTTTTCCTTTTGCATGCTTTAAATTAAAAGCAGATCACTTTCTTTTGTAGGATCTGCAGCTGATCTTTGTAAAATGGCCATGGTTGAGATTTTTACCTCTGTTGTCATTTCTCCAACTTTAACAGCCAGGTTAGTGATTAATGACTGTGAAATGTTTAATTTTAAAATTAAAAAAAACACATTGAAATGAAGGTCTTTCTGTCGTTTTAAGCAGCTGAGGAAATACTATATATACCTCTGACTCTTTTAACAAGCAAGGACTTGTGAGAGGGTATTATATATTTGAAGTTATAGCTTTGTGCTAAAATGGGCTTTTTTTGTAAATCTATCTTGACATGATGAATTACCCTTGGGGCCATTTAAACTCCGTCAGATCTAGTTCAGTGGTAGTTCAGGATCTTTGAAATCAAGCCCACTGATCATATCCTTCCTGTATTTTGAGTGTATTGTATAATGGCAACTGAACATTCAATGGGCTGGGAAAAAACAGGAATCAGGAAACCAGTACTCAAGTTAAATAAATGAACATTTTTTTCATCTTGTGTAGATGGCTTTCCTTTCCTGAAGAAAAGTTAGGTCATCACGATGCTCTTGTGTCATGACTGTGCGTAGCTGGGTGAGAGATCACAGGGCATCCCGGAACATCAGACACCACCAGCAGAAATTCCTGGGTCTGGCTTTCCTGCAGAGGAAAGCTGAGGGTGCAGACAGACAGTCAGCATCACTATTTGCCATGATAGAAAGATGCTCTGAAGGCAAATGTGCAGGACCTCCCTGCCAACTTCTTATTTTTTGTAATACTGTGGTGTACAATCAAATAGAACATTAATTTTTGCAGTTGGACTTGGAATAAAAGCAAAGATGGCAGGTAATGCAGAAGAGCAATGTTTCTCTTTTCATCTCTATGATGAAATTATAAAAACCTGGGCGTAACAATCTTGAATTAAGGACTTCATTGGGAGTTGGAGCGCAAAGTGTCAGGGTTTCGCTTTCCAAACATAGCTTGCAATTATGTTTAATACATATCACTATAACCATTTACACCCAGTAACACTGTCTTATTTGTTCAGTGTAGTATTTCAAAATGTATTTGATAATTACAAATATAAATTGTGTTGGTGTTCAATGATAGAACCATTCCTATGCTAAAACCAAAACTTACTAAAAAAAATAAGGTGTGAAAGAAAGAGAAAAGAGATGGAGGGAAAAAAGAGAGAAAGATGGAAAGAAAGAGAAGGTCCTCTAATCTGAATCTGGAATGGGAAATAATTCTTTGGAGATACTGCATGCACTCAGTGATACCTCTGTGCATTAAATACCATATGATGTACTGTAATATATTGCACTGCCTTTTGGGCCAGATTCTCTGCCCTGATTGTAACTGTTGAGTGAACACCCGAGTTGAGTGAAGAGGCCCAAATCTGTGGCCTGGTTGAAAACTCCTTTTGCAGGCGTAGGTGAGCCCAGATCAGCACCGCGGCCGCTGGGGTCCAGGGCAGAGCAGCCAGCAGGCTGCGCTGGGGAGGGCTCGCGAGGTGCTGGGAGGGCAAGCAGCAAACCCCCTTCATCACGTCCTGGCTAGCACACAGATCTTCAGGTCCAATAACTAGCTGTTTTTTGAAAATTAGGGAAACCCAAAGCTTTTTGCAGCTAATGCCATGTCTGCAAATGCTGGTGGATGTTTCCTTCTCTCAACAGAAAATTTTACTGTGGTTGCTCTTTTAAAGAGTTTGTGGCTAATAGGACAACAGGCTTGGTGTTTTTCATGCTGAATTCCCTGGCACTGCAAAAGGAGAAGTGCTGTACAGGACACAAGAGTATTGTGGCCTTTGCTAGCATAAGTCCCACATCTTAGAAAGACCAAGACTGCAAGGGCATTTAAAAGAGAGGCTGCTTTAAACTGGGATTTTGAACTCCTGCCAGCCATTAACAACTGGATGGCTTGCTGAAGAAGAGCCTTTAATGGCTCCTTGCTGTAATATTTAGGAGATAGTTAAGAGCTGGGTTTGTCAGCAAAGCACAAGAGCGTTAGGCATCCTGTGGACACTCACCTGAAGAGAAGCTAGTTCAGGATCCGAGAGCATCGCTGTGGTCTCAGGGCAGTGCTGGAATAGACCTTGAATATTTGTGTCTCTGCTCAGTTGCTTGTCAGTCACCAGGTGACACGGAGTTGTTTTTTTTTTTTTGAGGTGGTCTGTTTCTCAGTTTTCTTATCACTAAAATTATGGTAGTGATCCTAAGATCCTTTGTAAAGCACTTGGAAAATAACGTTAAAAGGAAGTGCATGCAGAATCAGTGCTGCTGTTGTAACAGGGGGAATTCACAGTAGCACTTCCAAAATGAGAATACAATCAGTCTCCTATTATCATCACAACAGACTGTCATCATTCCAAAGATAGCATGTTACTATCTTTTCTTGTATCTTCGTCTCCCTTTAAGTATTTTTCCCTATTAGAACTTCTAATTTTGGAAACAGGGTTTTCACTTTGAACAATATATCAAAGAGAAGTTGCTTTTATATATTTACAATCAGCGATGATTGCTTGTAGAAGACAGGCAAATAGTAGCTAACTTTTTTTAAAAAAATTTCCAAGGTAATGAGACAAAATGTTAGCTGTTAGCCACTATTTGGCTAGACACAGGTCTTTCAGTTTTTAACATTAGTTTACAGGTATGTTTACAGCCTTCTTCACTGGTAAAGCTACATACAATTAGCTTATTTGTAAATTGTTTTAATGTGAGCAACACCTGACCCAACAGTATCTAGCTTAGGTTTTTGTGCAACTAGTAATCAGTAGATTTTCAGTTACTGTTTGCACATATGATATTCCATCTGGCAAGTAGTGAAAGGAAATCAGGTTACATCTTCATGAAGATCAGTCACAGAGGCCTCAGGAATGAACACCAGATTCCAGCGCAACCGAGCAAAGGCTCTTCAGACAACTGGCAACATCTTTTTTCTCTTCGTGTTTGTTCACCTTTTAATTCAAATAACAGCCTCCCAACTCAGGCTGTTGACAATAAAAATCAATTGGATGCGTAGAAATAATTTTGCAGAAAAAAAGAAAGGTAGCAATAACTGCGGTATTTATGATAAGGACCTGATAGCACTGTGGGTTTGTTGAAAAGCATCAGTGCTCAAATCTGTGCAGTTCACATGACACTGCTGAGACACCAAAATGATTTCTTCAGACTTCTTCCATATTGTCCACATCTTTGTTAGATGCTGGTTTGCAGCTGCTGGCCAAGTTGCTTACTGAAAATAAGCTGCTGACATATAAATTATTCAAGGGGCAGCTTTTACCTGTCTGATGCAATTCACCAAACCTCCATACAGCGTTTCCTGCAGGCAGATGATAACAAAGGCACTTCTGAAGTGTGATCAAGGCATACAGTAGCAGCTGAAGGAAAAATTTATGGGGTTTATTAAAGCATACCGGTGCTCAGTGAACTCAGGTGGACAATTACAGTTATTTTCAGTGTTTAAAACATTGTTACAGTTGCAGATCCATGGAAACTTGGTATGAATTAAGGATACTGGCAACTTAAGGAAAACGTGCTGTCCATATAGATACCTATTAAAATTATTGCTTTGTAAGCTGAAAATAAAACAGACGTTCTCTGATGTCTTTATGATGCTACATGGGCTTCTCAGCAAGCTTTCAGTCATTAAAGATGATAATATTCCAACAGCATGCAAATTAAATTGAACAGGTCTACAGAAATATTGAGTAATTTGGCATGAATCCAACCGTTCTCCTTTCTCACCCATTTGTTGTTCCTACAGCACTGGACCTGTGCCACAAACACAGCTTTGCTTCTCAGCATGGCCAGAGCCTAATTAAAGAAACAGGTTCAGCGACAGGCCAGATATAAGTAAATGGTCATATAAGGAAGAGCAACCAGTATGTAAGAGGAAAACGCAAAATCTTATTCTTGGTCCCAACTCTATGTATATATACATGTGTAATACCAAACCTGCAACATCCATTGCTATGTCTCTCTCAAAGAACAAACACTTTAATCAGTTTAATGATTTCTGAGCTGCTGACCTGTAAATGCAGGCTGCTTCTGCACAGATAGCTGAATTAGCAAGGCAGCTCCCTGGTCAGGCTGGGAACAAGCACTGAGTTAGGTGGCCTGGTATTTTTCTGACCCAAGTCGCTTGACAAATCTCGAGTTGCTCTTTTGTTGGTAGCTTCAGCTTTAGTCACACATGACAAGAGCCTAGGAGCATTTGTATAAAGTGTGTAGGGATTCAAATATTAGTACTTTATTAAGTGGTATTTGTTTTTAGGCTTGTTCAAAAGGACATACTAACAAGACCAACTGATTAATTCGTAACTCCAGCCAAATATGTCAGCTCCTTAGTGCTGCTGCTATGTGCAATGGTTTTGTTTAGTTCTGGGAGTAGATCTTATGTCCCTTCATCTGTTTCTCGAGAAATTAAAGAATTGTTTTAACTCTCGTTTCTTCTGTAGCAAATATCTGGGATTTTCAAGTAAATGTTTATTGCTCCCCATTGCCCCAATTTATGGTTGAAGATCTGCACTGAACTATTAATTCTAGCAGAAGAGTTAGCTTTTATCCTTGGCCTGGTAGTGGGGAAATAGAAGGAAAAGATCCATGCTTTTCATGCTGCTTGAGGGGAGAATCAGGTTTCTGTTTCACTCTGTGTGCTTTTGTTTCACTGGCAGAAGGAACCATCTTAGGCCATATTGCTGTTCTAGAAATCAGTGTGAGCTCTTCACAGCTGCTCTCCCAGTCCAGTGCTGCTCTTTGCTGTCCAAAGAGCCCAACAAACACTGAATTTCTAGGGCTGCTGTGCCTTAGCAAAACCATTTCCCTCCTCCTCAAGATGTTTAATATGCTTGGTTAATGTCCAGATAGTTAATATCCATTTATATGGATTATTCAGCACAAATAATACTTTATAAATTAAAACACTTCATAAAAATGATTTTTACAGGTCACCTTTTCATTTCGTAATAAAACACTTTGTATCTATGTGAAAATTCTTCTCAGTTTCCTGTTCTTTGTGATATAGTCACCAAGAAAACATAAATCTCACAATTTAGCTGATTTTTTGTGGTTAAAATGTCACGGCCTTTGTGATTTTTCTTAGGGGA